AAAAAAAAAAAAAAAAAGAATGCATTTGACTGCAAGTAGCAGAAAACCAGAGTTACTGCAGTTTAAACCAATAGTTTATTCTTCTTACATAATAAGCAATCTGGAGGTAGGCTGCTGGTAGCTTTAATTTGGCAGCTCTTTGATAGTAGGGCCAGCATCACAGTGATTTTCGTGGCTTTCCTTCATATTGTAACGTGGCTACCAGCCCACCAAACATCCAGGCCCCTTTATGGCAGGAAAAAGAGACAGTGCCAGTCATGTCTATCCCTTTTATACATGTATCTGAAAACTGAAAACATTCCTAGGGTCCACCCAGCAAATTTTTGTTGATGTTTAATTGGTTAGAACTGGGTTATATGGCCACCACTTGCAAGCTATGGTGACTGAATTTCCAGCTTTTTCAGCCTTTCTTGTGGCAGCAGGAAGTGGGAAGATTGGAAATAGGTAGGAACAGGTATTGATTCATCCAATCAACAGTGTTGACCGCACCTTGAAAGCTCTTATTTTACTTCTGTCATAGAGAAATAACTTCATCTGTGCTCAGAAAACACATACAAGGTTTTTCACTGATAGCTGAATGCTTAGAAATCATTAGATGTTGGTATCTGTACTGATTCTCAGAGGCAGTTGAAAAGAATGAGTTAAATTAGATCTAAACATACTGACATGCAAATTTCTAAGACATTTTTAAAGGGGGGAAAGAATGTGAAGAATGATATCAACAGTATGGTGCTTTCTTTGTTTTAAAAAAACTCACACACACAAGTTGTACATATGTCTACAAATACACAAAAAATAATCTGGAAGAAAATACTCAAACTGACAACAGTGATTATCTCTGGGATAAGAAGTAAGGGAACCTTGCCTTTTTGTTTAAATATTAATGAAATGTGCTTGTGTTTTACAGAAGAATTTTTTTTTAACCAAAAATACAAATGTCTCATAGCTCTTGGGAAAGAAATAAATAATTTGAGGAAATTGAATAATATCAAAATAAAACCAAGAAACCTCAATTAATAGGTAATATTAGCAAGGGCATATGCTAGCTAAACAGTTAATTATTTTGTAAGATAATACATGTACCTGATGCAATTTTTGCAGACAAGTTTATCTGGGGAAATATTTTGGCCCAAGGCACTAGTTATGTTTCCCCTAAATGTTAGCAACACTTAACATTAACTAAGAAACTTTAACCTTTGGGCTGCTAACAAAATTATGGGAAAGAAAAACCTCTTAGAAGCAATAATTATTTCAGATGGCAGGACATATTTGAAATAGCTTCAGCTTGATTAACTTTTTTAGATTGAACTTTCTAT